GAGGAACGGCAGCGATTGGGCATGGAGGTGCTGCTGATGTTGGTGCTGGTGTTGTAGTCTCCGAAAAAGGATTAGGGCTGGCGATGGTGGCGTGACGCGGGCCGCGGAAGCCGGTGTATTGCGTCCCCTTGGCGGCGGTGCCGTGCAGCCACTCGTAGAATTCGATCGTAGCGACGATGGGCAGGTGTGTTGCTTTCAGAAGTAGGATACGGGCCTTGCGGAATTTGTTGTCCGAGGGGAGGAACAGACGCAGCGGGCGGAAGATAACAAGGGCGAGGAGGTTGAAGGGTGGGTAAAAATGGGTCAAGCGGTTGGAGGTAGAAGCCTCCAAGACGTAGACCCCTGTAGACGTAGAGATATTCCTCGCGAAGCGTGGGTGATGACGCGTGAGAACGAGTTGGAGAGCATACCGAGTCAGAGAACCTGTCAGGAGGATGGAGCTGAGCATGACGAAAACAATCATCAAAGAGAGTCCGAAGATGGAGTCGATGTTGTGCATGATGTCAAAGCCTACACCACTTGAGCCGAAAAAGATACGCGTCAAGGAGCCGGCCATGTCGTTGAGTGAGTAGGCATCGCGGGCCACGAGGGAAAAGGTGGTGAGAAACCCGAGGTAGATGACGACGACAAGCACCATAAACTTGAGGAAGTCTTTGCCCATCTCCTTCAGGCAAGGGATTAGGGTCTAGGGGGGTTAGCTACGTCGTAATGTATACCGGACATGTGTATAACTTACCCCCCAGTATGGGCTTAGGCTAAGGATGGAAAACACACGGGGCACCATGAAGAGTGCCTCGAGAGCCAGAACGTCAAAGGCGAGGTCAACGAGGCGAGCGTTGTTAGTTCCCAATCCAACGACCCCTACTAAGGTCAGTGACAGAACAGGGAGTCGGGTCAGCAGCCGCATGACGTACGCATGGCAAAATACGTGAAACCGATTCCTATCATGAACATGTCAAAAATGTTCTAGGTCTGTGTTAGCCATGACCCTCAGCCAGCTCAACCAGTGGCATTACCTACCCAAACATCAGCGGCATAGAAGATCGACCCGGCATCTATCCATTCGCTCAGCTCATCGTAAGCAAATGCAGCAAGCCAAAGACACAAAAAGACCTCGAGCGTAGTAAAGCGCGTAGGATCCCGCTCCATCAGCACGGCGTAATAGAGAAACAGAAAGCTGGCGAAGAAGAGAACCTCGAAGGATTTGAGATACTTAGGGACGCGGAGACGCGAGAAAGGATCAGCGGTGGTGGGCTTATAGAAGCGCGGCTTCTTGACCGAGTGCACGGAAAGAGAATCCCAAAAGATGATGTCGCCATTCCATATCCCAGTGATGATCTTCTGAACGATGCCCTGGCTGAGGAAGCGTTTGGCGTCGGCAATGGCGGCGATCTCGAGGGCATTGAGGTTGGTGAAGTGCGCCGTAGGGTCATCCTCCTCCTCGTCATCGTCCATGTCGGCTGTCATGCTCATAGTCAGGCGCGAGATAGACTGCAGAAGCATATTGCGTTTGTTGGTCCCTGACAAGCCGAAGGCCTGGCGGGCTGTGTTTGCGGTGTCACGTAGGGCCTGGCCCAGGAGAGCGCTGTGCTCATCAACAGCGGACTCCTCGTCCGTGGGGCTTGTTTCTACATCTTTGGGGTCAGGGATCTCGTAGAGACAATAGTCTACAGCCTCCCTCTCTGACAGATGCGTGAGGAAGCGCCAGGCCACGATTTCGCAAGCATTAGCCCGGGCCTCGTGCAGCCCCTTGTCTTCTGTGATGGCACCGTAATGCCATTTTAGCGCGCTGTAGAGTTATCAGCGTACTGTCAAGAGCAAAACAGAGTCAAAGCACTCACAGCAAAGCGTTTACAATGGCCGGGTGAGTGCAATTGCAGCCCAGGTGGTCAACCAATTTCGGCAGGCCGTCGCCGGCGCCGGTAGTCCTGAGCTGCTCAAAAGTCAAAGGCAGCTGAATGACACTAGCAATGTAGACGGATAGTTTCTTGACCAGCACTCGGAAGCAGTCGTCGTCCTGGATGTCGGGGAGTTCAGCAGTCCGACGGTTTTGGCGATGGAAACCGGTGGGAGAAGGGGTTCGCAGTGGTTCTGAACCCTGTCCAGGTCGCGACTTGACGCGGATCGGCATTGTAACTTGGTGGTGAGTTACCTTGGTTCGGTAACTCGTTACCCAACAGTCCAATCAATTGAAAGGTAGAAAAAAAGAATAATTCCGTAAATGAGACTCGGCCCGGTTCCTCGGGTCCTGTCACCACCGACAGAGAGGGAAAGGAAGGAGGAGGAGGAGGCTCCGATGAAAGAGGGGGATTGATATTTCCTTATCTGGAATGTGATGTCGTCGTCAAGCAGTTGGATGGCGGGGGACCATGTTGTTTGTTGGAGAATCCCGGCACTGGCTGGACCTGAGTGGGCTGCGCCTTCACCGTCTCGGATGCTTCCTGCAGGGTACACAGTTCGAGGCAGGGCCACCCGTGCCTGGCCGACCTCCTGTGAGTGGGCGGGCTGGATGCCCCTGAGGGGAAGCAACCACTGCCAGCACGCTAAATCCCCCCACCACTGGCCGTTTCAACTTCGTCCAATCCATTGACCATCCACATCACGAGCACAACTCAGCCCGCCGCCCTCAGGTCGCGCTTTGCATCGCGCCGTCGCCACACAAGTACGGTCAGCTGAGCAATTGGCAGCGTGCATAACGGCCAGTTCGTTTGGCCATTCTCGGATTGGCCACTTCCAATGTTTACCACCTGAAACGATTCCTCCCTGCCCTCTTCCATCCCTCGGCCCTCTGTTGGAGTTGATCTCCAATTCTCCACCCATGTGCCTGTTTCCTCGTTGTGGAAAGCCGAGGCTGGCCAACTTCAAATTCCGAGCGCTGCTGTACCCAGTATTCGTGTTATGCAACCACTCGCTTCTAGCTTTCCTGCTTTCCTTCTCTTTTTCAGGCCCACCTTATTAAATACCGTGAATTACTGTGTAACTTCCAAAACAGGAACAATGTTTGGAGTTTCCCCTCCTTGGAAGAGCGGGCTGTTCCCTTCCGCGGTCGAAGCCGGGCTAATCTATCAGGGGATGATTTTCCATATGTCCATGCCCATCGAAGTAAATCATCACCGAAAGCTGCCATCAGGAACAGCTCGACGGCACTGTAATGCAGGAGATAATGGCTACCTTGGCGAGTATTTAACGGGATGCTTTGAGCGCGGTGCTCAGAGCCCGTTCTCATCTTCTCTGTTGACACCTCCTTTGGAAAGTGGATCAAGCACCACGCAGTCATGAAAGCTATCTTCACCCTCGGTCTCAGCCTGCTGTCCGCGGCGCAAGCCCTTCCCTCAGCAAGGGCGGCAGCCTCATCCACCGTGGACGGGACGCGTTTCTCTATCGACGGGAAGACGGGCTACTTCGCGGGCACCAACTCCTACTGGATCGGCTTCCTGACCAACAACCAAGATATCGACACCACTCTTGACCACATCGCCACCTCCGGTCTCAAAATCCTGCGCGTCTGGGGTTTCAACGATGTCAACACCAAGCCCGGGGCCGGCACCGTCTGGTTCCAACTCCTCTCCTCGTCCGGCTCCCAGATCAACACGGGCACCGACGGGCTGCAGCGCCTTGACTATGTGGTCCAATCGGCCGAGAAGCGCGGCGTCAAGCTGATCATCAACTTTGTCAACTTCTGGGACGACTACGGCGGCATGAATGCCTACGTCAAGGCCTTCGGCGGCTCCAAGGAGAGCTGGTATACCAACGCCAACGCCCAAGCTCAGTACAAGAAGTACATCGAAGCCGTCGTCAGCCGGTATTCCAAGTCGGACGCCGTGTTCGCATGGGAGCTGGCAAACGAGCCCCGCTGCAAGGGCTGCAGCACCGATGTCATCTACAAGTGGGCGACTGACATCTCGGCGTACATCCGCAGCCTGGATTCGAGCCACATGATCACGTTAGGTGACGAAGGCTTTGGACTGCCGGGTGACACTACCTACCCTTACCAGTACACCGAGGGTACAGACTTCGTCAAGAACTTGGGAATCAAGGATCTGGATTTTGGAACGTTCCACATGTATCCCGACAGCTGTGCGTCTCAACCCCTCACCCATTGATGCCCGGCCGCAAACTAACTGCGTATTAGGGGGCGTCCCGTACAGCTTTGGTGAGGGGTGGATCAAGAGCCATGCCGCCGCCTGCAAGGCCGCCGGCAAGCCCTGTCTCTTGGAAGAATGTAAGGAGCCCACTGGGAATTCTTACTCACCCCACTCACTCCATCTCTCGCCCCGTGGATGAAAGGTTAACAAAGACCAGATGGCGCCAACGCCAGCTGCGACATCCAGAAGCCGTGGCAGCAGTCCTCCCTCGCGCTCGCCGCCGACGGCATGTCTGGTGACCTCTTCTGGCAGTGGGGTGACCAGCTGAGCTCAGGCCAGACGCACAACGACGGCAATACGGTCTATTACGGCTCGGAGCTGGCCACGTGCCTGGTGACGGATCATGTCAAGGCCATTGAAGCTGCGTCCTAGGGAGTTGCGGGTGCGGTCGGGTGGGAATCGATGGGTTTCCTTCTGGTGGGTAAAATGGAGTCGTGATGTCGGCAGTTTGGCATTTGAGGGGCGTCAATATCAGACCCGGCTCCGGGATTGTTCGGCCTGTGCTTTTGGTGTGTGCTATGCGCTTCGTTAATGACGCCCCGACAGCAACCAATGACTAGCTTTTTTTGCTTTTCCTTCTTTTTAACCCAGCGGGTTTGGTATACAACTTAAACTCCGTGATGACTGACACCACCTCACTTTGATATTGCGGCACTCTGAGGTTTGTGGGGGCGCAAATGATAAATAGTCCGTACCCTTGACTTCGATTCAGCCTAGGTCAGGGCTGGCTAACACTGTCCTGGCTATCGGCCTGAAGAATCCTACACTATAAACAAGACATCGGCTAATAAATGACCAAAAGCTAAGAATATGCCGAGTCGAGGAGTCCGAGCCAAGCGCCGAGCCCTGATGACCCCCCACGGGCAACGGCGCGCAACCACTTCGTTAAGGGGTGAACAGATGCGCTGAATAAGCAGTCAGATTTATATCTCGTGTCAACATAATATCTCGGGAACAACAACGACACAGGAAGCGCCCATTGATGGAGAACTCGTGATTCCTTCCGTTCAAGTCGCCGGTTAAGCGGATGTTCTCGTATCGGGCCAAGTTCTTGAACCCCACCAGCGCGCACCTCCTGCAAAGCGACGGTGACATCGTGGGGAGAAACACGCGGTGGCGGACCACAATTGCGGCACAGCTTAAGTTCTGACCGCGTCGTTTGATGAGCAGGAGAAAAGTGGATTGCCGGAGGAATATGACCAGTTCCTGAAGGAAACTGATGCCGAGAAAAGACTCGCTCAAACCTCGATTTCTTTCCAAGCTGGAAATTTTTATATAAACGCTTATCATGCCATGTCACATCCCCAGATGCTGCATTCTCCATGACCGTTTAACCACATGGATCTGCAGTGCAAACGGCTCCACTCTGGGCTTGGAACAATTGGCAGCTGTGGGCTATGGCGGCACCGCCACCAGCCATGATGAAAACTGTCTAAAAAAAGAAGACGACGCACGTCCACAGCAAAGAAACAGCACAGCCTGTTCTCTTTTCACAACACGATTGCGGGAATGCGCAAGCACAGCTCCGCCGTCTAGCAAGTGCTCGCCAATATTGAAGACCAAAACGAGATAATGATATGGTGTGGAGTTATGGAAAGAGGAAGGACACTCAATGGCAGTGTGGCGAGACCATTGGAGCGACCGAGCTGCACAACGGAAATTGCAGAGGTAATCCGCCCGGCTTACGTTCCCCAAACCAACTGGCGCGCTTGCAGAAAGTTTGTGGGCGCTTGTTGGCGGCAGTGCCCGTTGGTTTTGTACGCGCGGTAATTGTCGGGGAGGCGGGAGATGGTGGCACATTCCGGGCCCAAGGCTTTCCGTGCGTTTCAATGCGACTCATGACCCAGGCATCCGGTTTCCGGATGTCAATCCAGCCCACCGCATAACTCCCCGAAGCCACTGGACGACAAGCAAGCCAGTCAGCGCGATTCAATCCAAGGTGTGGTTTGGGCCATCCAAAGCGGCCGGCAGCGGCAGCGGCAGCGGCAGCGGCAACGCGCTAATGTACAGAACGTGAAGGTGGGTGTTCTTCGTCAGAACTTCAGTCGAGATGATACCGAGAGATGTGAACAGCCTATTCAGGTTGCGCTTTCGTCCGTCAGCGAGCCCCTCGTTGTTGGATTCAGGTCCCAAGCATCAAGGAATAGCGAGCACGACATGCCCACAATCCTGCTCCGCCGGGCCTGCATAGAAACTCCGGGGCTTGAGCCAGGGTTCCCGAAGAGGGAACCCCTGCTGAACCTGCACCACCGAGCAGCCGCCCGCTTTTACAATGATGACCCGGCGCCACTGTGCCTCCCGCTCCCACATTCCTCGCACTCTGCACTCTTCTCGTCGCTTGCCGTTTACTTCGTCTGGTATTTGATATCGGGGACGCCCGCTTTCTTTTTTTATTTTGACTTTTTCCTTCCTGATTTCGGTTCGGCATTTTTAGTCCAGCATCGAGGCGCACAGTGCTTCAGGCGCAGGCGGAGCACCTAATCTCCCGATCGCCCTGAAGCTGATCCGATCAACCCCCACTACCATACCCTACCTACCTTAGCCGCGACCGACCTCGAGATTCGACATGTTCGATTCGCTACCACAGCCGACGGCGCTTCTCTTGTTGTCGAGTCTACTCCAATTAACAGAAGCCCATGCTCTTCACAACCTACCGAGGCAGACACCCGAGCCTACGATAACCCTCCCACACCATGTCCTCAACGTCGTCTCATGGCCAATACAACCTACCCCGCCACCAGGGTCCGACCTATTCGCTTATCGTCGCCGGCAATTAGACGACAGCTTCAACACCATATGCGGCTACGTCAACGGGGACTTAGAGCTGCCCGCGACATGCGGGTCAGGATCGCATTGCGTGGTCGATACGGAGCACAATGTGGTGGGCTGCTGTCCGAATGGCGCGCCGTCATGCACAGCCGGTGTATTTACGGGTTGCGTGGATCAGAATAGCGGCGCGCAGACCGAGGTCAACCCCTACGTCTTCAGCTGTACGGGCGCCGCCGTCTGCTACATGAACGAGTACGAGGGCGGCTTCTCCCAGTATGGCTGTGGGACTGCGAGCGACATGGCGGCCACCGTCCAAAACAGTGCCAGTGGGATGACAGCCCCCCTCAACCGACCTACCGTCACCGTTTCGTACACAGAAGGCATCAGCACACTCAGCGAACCCACCACGCTAGGCACCGCGTCTAGCCGGGCAAGCAGCACCACCGCGCGCTCCTCGGCGACCCCTGCTTCCGCTTCCTCCGACTCAACAACCTCCGCTGCCCCGACCGAGAGCGTCGACGCGGCAGCCCCGCCGGCAACCGACACAGCCTACCGCACGGGCGCCATCGTAGGCGGCACCATCGGCGGCCTAGCCGTAGCCATCGCGCTGGTGGCGTTGGTCTTCTTCTTCCTCCGGCGGCGCAACGCCAACATTCGACAAGGGCCCGGGCCGGGTGGATACCGCGGCAAGGTCATCAGCCCGCCACAACCGGGCGGCGGCACTGGCTTCGCGGCCCTTGCCAACGACGACCACGACGCCTTCGAGACCGGCCCCGCCGGCAGCGTACTCGACCAGCACCAACAACACGAATACCAACCCCAATATCACCCACAACAACAACAACAACAACCTCCCATGTCCACCAACCCGAGCGCCGCAACCGCCGCCGCCGCCGCCGCCGCCGCCGCCGGAGCAGCCGCCAGCGCGCCCCCGGGCACCGCCAACCGCAGCATGCTCCCGCCCCTATCCACCGGCCCGCCCATGCCCTTCCAAAGCGAAGTCTCGCCCGTCGAGCACCACGATCTAGACACACCACTCGCGTACAGCCATTCCGCCCTCAGTGGCGCGGCCGCCGCATCCGGCAGCGCCGCCCTCTCCTCCGCGGGGGCCGCCTCCGTGTCGTCCTACCCGCCGTCGTCGTCGGGCGGGCTGAGTGGTGATGGGGGACAGCAAAACATGAACGCTGCGGGGATGGGTCAACAGGGGGGCTATGGCTACGGCCAGGGCCCGGCGGCGTACGCGGGCGGGTCGGGCCTGATGATGGGCATGAGCCCGTTGTTGTTGAGTCGGGGCGCCGAGCGTCATCTGGAGAGTGACCAGGTGCCGCTGACGTCGATGGCGGGGCTGGGAGGTGGTGGTGGTGGTATTGGTGGTGGGGGGACGGGAGATTGATGACTTCTCGCAGGGGTTTCATGCTGCGTTGGGAAGGATTGGCGAGGAGGATGAGGAGGATGAGGAGGGGCGGCGGTTGAGTCGGTTGCAGCTGCAGCAGCAGGGGGGGTATCAGGGGGGGTATCAGGATGTGGTGGGTGGAGGGGCTGGTGGTGGTGGTGGTGCTGGGGGTGTTGGGCAGGATAATGAGGGCGGGACGATGGGGAGTGAGGGGTCTGGCCAGGGCCGGCCGCTGTGGCAGCAGAATCGGAGGCAGAGTCGCAATTTGATGTGGATGTGATGAAGAGGGGGAGGGTGGAAAGATGGGGCTTTGCTTAGCGGCGGCGTTTAGCAAATTGGGAGTGTGATGGCGTTGGAAAAAAAAAACTTGCATTTTTCTCATTGGGATGGGAGCATACATTTTTGGGGGTTGGGCTTGTGGGTGTTTGAGCGGTTGGGCATACAGACAATTCAGAGTGCTTGGAGGCGTGTATATATCGGGTGTTTGTGCGGTTGGCAGCGGATATCGTATATTATCGATGGCACGAACTAATGAGGATGATGTTTACCGCAGCCCTGGCTTGCTTTGGCCAGTTTGGTGATCTGTGAACCGAAACAGCCACCGGATTACGCCGAGGCGAATGCGGCATCGCAGATTTACAACCGGAGATGAGCAAGCGCCATTCTGCCTCGAGTTTAGAAAACTGTGGTTCCTTCGGTGATACGGGAGCAGCCACGTCGCTCCAAGGCTAACGGAGGTGGTTCACGAGCTTTTGCATACCGTGTCCATGCAACACGGTGCCATGGTCGCGGCGTCGGGACGGCGTCAAGTGTGCTAGTGCGGTTGGCCTTCCATCGCACGACACTCGCCATATGTCGTGGAGATGCCTCATCTCGCAATATCCGGCGCCGTTGCACATCACCTGGGCCAGCTGACACCGTTAGCGCCGTCACCACCTGGGCCGAGGCTGTCACCACAACAGCCCCTTTGTGGAACGGAACAGCTCTGGACGAAAACAACCCCCTTTCATCTTACGCGGCCTCTCACAGACCCGCCCCCAAAGAGCACAGCTCGTCAGGCCTTCGAGTATGGCACATATTCGGCGGGCTCGAGGTACGCCCGTAATCTAGACCAGGCGGTACGAAGGCCAGTCGTATGGCGTGGCTCTCGAGGGATATGATGTTGCTACACAGCCAAACAAAAAGAAGCGGTCTAGTCAGCCGGGGCGTCAGTGGGAGTCATGCGATGATGCCGTACGGCGTGGTCGGTGCTAGGTATACATAGCATGTCCTACCGGGAGACTCTGGTATAGGTAGCAAGTAGCATGCAGCGATTCCGAAGCTTTGGTTTGGAGTAGCTTCCGACCAGGCCACTCAGCCCCGTGCAGAGACTGGTTACGGTCTACCGGGGCATGGCGCCAATTCGAGGCCCACATCCGACGATCCGGCCCGCCTGGCTGGCTCCATCGAAGGCCCGGAATCCGGGATGGGATGGATGATCATCGACATCGTCCCGTGCATGACGTCACGCAAACTCGGACAAGGCCTCGAATGCAACATGGTACAGCTTGGAAGGGCGAGTCAGGGATTATGGAAGACGCCATGGGCGACGAACGAGATTGGGGGTTCTGGAAGGGTTTCAAGTTTGATGATGTGCTCGAACACAGCTGCGGTGGGATCGGGTTGGCGAATCTTATTCGTTATGTCAAAGTTCGGAGGTTGCAGTTGCTACGCTGCCCTAATGGTGATGTATGTGCAGGCGGTGAGGAAAGGGGAAGAGGGGAAGAAGCTTAAAGGTGGGGTGGGTAATGATTTGAGCTGACGTCTTCTGGGATATAAAGGTTGGGCGGTTGGCATGATTCAGGATGAGTGAGGAGTTCATCTTAAGGATAACAACAGACAGAAGTTCACACTTCAGCCCAAGATTTCAGCAAGAAAACACAAAGCATCAACTCAGCACACCAACACACACTTCTCACACTTGTCATCCATCCACCTTCCCTCCACACAGCCGAAATGTCTGACGCCCCCAAGATCCTCGTCGTCCTCACTTCCCACGACAAGCTGGGCGACACCGGCAAGCCCACGGGGTGGTATCTGGTAAGCCCCTTCTCTCTTGCCCTCACTCCGACCCCTCCCCATCTCTACAACTCACCCCCACTAACCACCCACCAGTCCGAACTCGCCCACCCCTATGAAGTCCTCACCTCCCAAGGCTTCCAGCTGACCCTCGCCTCTCCCACGGGCGGCCCCGCCCCGCTGGACCCGTCCTCCATCGAAGCGGCCTCCAACGACGACTCGTCGCAGCGCTTCCTCAAGGAGCAGAACGCGCTGTGGGAGGCGACGGAGCCGCTGATCTCCTTCCTCGGGCGCGCCGACGAGTTCGCCGCCCTTTTCTTCCCCGGCGGCCACGGGCCCATGTTCGACCTGGCCGTGGACCCGACCTCGCAGGCGCTGGTGCAGGAGTTTGCCGACAAGGGCAAGGTGGTCGCCGCCGTGTGCCATGGTCCGGCGGCGTTGGTCGGGGCGGGGAAGGTTCTGGAGGGGAAGGCCGTGACGGGGTTTACGAATGCCGAGGAGGAGGCGGTGGGGTTGGATGGGGTGGTGCCGTTCTTGTTGGAGGATCGGTTGGTGGAGGCGGTGGGGAAGGGAGGCCGGTTTGAGAAGGCTGCTGAGAAGTGGGGGGAGAAGGTGGTTGTGGATGGGAAGCTGATCACGGGGCAGAACCCGGCGAGTGCCAAGGGCGTGGGCGAGGCCATTGCGCGGGCTGTTTGGGGGGCTTGAGTGAAGAGGAAAGGGGAAAGGGGATGAGGTTTTATCCTTTTCGTTGTTGGAGTGTTTTCTTGTCTGCTGCAGATGGAATGTTGCTGCTTGTTGAGAGAAAACCGAGAAACAAACAAAAAAAGAGGGGAAGTTTGTTTTCGAAGGTCAGATGTTCTGCGTTCAACAATATACCCGCCCATCAGCCGGTGATTACCTGGAGGAGACTCAGTTCATGAATGAGGGTGGCCATTAATCTAGATGGCCATTCCTCTAGATGGCCAGCCATCTTGTTTAACTCCTTCCATCATGTCTATGCTGACTCCAAACGCCCAAAGTACCAATCCCATCTCCCTTTTGCAACTCCAATCCCCGACCCTTAGAGCTTTCCCACTATTTCGTTCCGGCGAAACAGGACGCCGATGAAGTCTTGAAACCAACTGACTGATGTGTCTGACTTCCCACCCTGCCTGTCCATCAAGTATTCTTCATGATAGCTTTTGCTAAGGGCGCTTGGTCAACACAACGACGCCTTCAACGTCGTCAAAAGCTAGATATCTTCCCACTAAATTGGGTTGCTGCCAGCTCTGAAGTTGAGATCGCACATAAGGGTCTTCCCAGAGGAAAAGAGCATGCTCGTGAGTCGTCTTTTCGTCGCATTTGTTGGCAACTGCCGTCGTTACACTTTCGCGAATCTGAGCCGCCCCAAAGGAATTTGTAGCGAATGTGCTCGTCTTTATGTCCGTGTTCAAATGGCAACCGCCGCCAGCTCGGCGTCCGTTGCGGTGATGTATTGCAGTGCCGAGATAATATCTTGCAACGACCTCTTCAGCTCGGTGCGAAGGTAGAGACCGGACCAGAGAAGAGACACGCCCAGAGCCGCCATGCGATGGGTATTGCAGGTGATGTTGCGGCAGGGGCGGTTGCCGATGCCAACCGTCCACTTGTAGAGGGATTGCTGGGCGGCGGTGAAGACGTGCCCAGGGACCTGCTCGCGAGCAGCAAGGACGGCGGCTGTCAAAGTCAGCAACCCACCCAACACACACACCCAATGCGATAGAAGGAACAACTTACCAACTCGCCGCCTTTCCACAAGCCGCCCCATCAACCCTACCCTCATCCGGCCTCAACACCTCCCCATCATCCCCAACCCTCCACACATACGCCGCCCTCCCCATCACCGCCCTCGCCTCCTCTACCCACCCAAACCCCTTACAGGCACCCAACGCCCTCTCCAATCTCTCCCCCCTACCCCCCAACCACACCAGCCACCCCCTCCCAACCATCCACCCACCCATCCACCACCCCCGGAACCCCCCCCAACCCACCCACAAACCGGCGCATACACCCCCTCAACCACGCAACCCAGCCCGGCGTCAACCCCAGCGCCTCCCTCAACCCCGCCAGCCGCCACAGCACATCCACATCCACATCCGCATCCCCACCCTCCTTCCAAACCTCCTTCCAACCCCTCTGCCCCCAGCCCACCTCCCCGGCCATGCCGCCCCATCACCCGCAGCAGCACTTGCACCGCGTCCAGCGCCGCTTCACACTCCCCCGCAGACATCGCCGGCGGGAGTGGGGCGTGTGGCGTGAGGGTGATACGCAGGGGGTGGTTGAGGGGGGGAAGCGAGGGTGTGGCTGTGGCTGTGGCTGGCATTGCGGGATGGGCGAAGCCGGCGCGGGGTGGGGTTGTGGTGCTTGGTGGGGTGGTGGTGGTGGTGGTGGTGTTAGTGTTGGTTTGAGGGGCGGTTGAATGGGGGTGGTAGTGCGGCCAGGTGGTGAAGT